GCACTCCAGTCTGGGTGACAGAGTGAGACTCCAACTCAAAAAAAAAAAAGAAAGAAAAAAGAAAATAGGACAATTTTATAGTGAATCTTTCATGCATTTCATGAATTTTAAAGCACCTTAGGAAAAGACTAATTCAAAGAAAGTGTTGAATAATGGATAACGGCAGAGGGAAATAAAAAGTAAACATAATCAAATGAAGAAGCATGTTTTCACCCAAGAATTGAGATGAGCATGAAAGTAGAGACTGAACTTAATTACGCTTAATGAAAAACACACATGGAATGACAGCATAGTACCCAGAGTAAGCCTGTCAAAAGTCAGAAGGGCAGAGAGCTGAGGGTGTCTACACTCAGTTACAGAATCATTCATACAGAATCAAAGAACTGTTCTAAACTGCAGGGCCACAGCACACACTCTCCCTGCCAGGGGCTGGCAAACTCTCCCTGCAAAGGTCCAGACAGTAAATACTTAAGGCTTTGTGGGCCACGAGGTCTCCGACATCCTACTCTCCTTTTGTAACTCGACTGGAGATGCGTAAAAGTCCCCTTAAAGTGTCTACTGCGCCTCAAAAGCTTCCACAGACACAAGTGAATGAATGGGTGTGGCTGTGTTGCCATGAAACTTTATTTATGGATACTAAAGTGTGAATTTCATAAAATTTTCACACACCAAGTTTTTTTCCTCACTCACATTAGACGGTAAAAGCCAACAGCTCACAGGCTGAAAAAACCACAAATGAAAGGCAGTGGGCTGGATCTGACCTTTGGGCCAGTTTCCAGCCTGCACAGCACACCTGTGACGGTGGAGCAGATCAGGAGCAAAGCACGGCCCTGAACACTGGGTGCTAGAAGCAAAGAACTGAGTGCCACATGTTCTCACTCATAAGCGGACCTTGAACACTTGTCGTAATACTGTAACTAAAGGATTGGCAGTCGTGGGAATCTGCCTGGGGAAGGGGGCACACCTCATCAACAAGGGTACCTGTGTAATGAACGTTTGTGTACCTAACCCTGAACTGTACCCCACACCTTTAACACAAAAATAATTAAATTTAAAAAAGAAAAGAAAACTGGGCACTCACTCCAGGCAAGGCTCGCTGTGGTCAGAGTCGTTCTTGGACCCTAGGAGCCCAGAACAGGAAAGATCAAGCAGCTGATAACACAGCTGTTATCCTCTCTCATCTCCCCTGATTAAAGAGATTCTTCCTTAAGCTTGTTGACTCAAGGTTTCAGTATGAATGAAGACTTTCCCTCACAAAAAGTAAAATTATTCCGGTTGTAAAACTGAGTTAAGATCCTGTGCCCTTGCAAGATAATGTATCCGTAACCCATACAATGTTTCCACACCTTTTAACAAAGTCACCCATTTTATACTCCAGGACCCCCTACGCAGCTTGTGTGCATTTAGTGCCTGTTACCCTTTAAGACCTGGTGATAAAACAGGAAGTGGATTCTAAGTCAGGATTCCCCTGGCCCAGATTCAAGTCACTGGGAAGTGTTTATTCCGCCTGGATTGCCACACTCCAGTCCCACTAGTCTATATCAGAAGCTACCACAAGCCTTAATTCCCAAAGTCCCCCCAGGTGGGGCTCACAGCAGGGATCCCGCGGCCTGTGACACTTGACATGCTGGAGCCTGCCTGAAAACGACCGCTTCGAAGAACTCAGCCGCGCTACCCGCGAAAGGGCCCCACCTGGGCGTGTCCATCGCATGGAGAGGAGACGCTGCCCCTGTGTCCAGACGTGGCCTTCAAGGAGAACGGCCGTCCCAAGTGAGGGTGGCCGTCCGACAGGCGGGGCGGCCACCACTGCAGAAGGACGGAAACCGGGTCCCCCTGGTGGTGGGTCCTTGTCATGACGCCAAAGGTCAGAACGGGAAAGCGGCAGGAACCCCCAGCCCACGCCCAAGCCAGCCGGTTTCCTGGCGGGGAAGTTCGCGGCAGACCTGATGACGTCCCAGGACGCTTAGCCACATGTCAGCGACTCAGACCACAGCCACGAACTCGCGGCAGGCACAGCCTTCCCGGCAACCCGCGGCCGGGCCGCTCGCTGCCCCGGAACGCCACGAAGCTCGAAGCGCCTCCCCTGCGCCGACGACTCCCGCTCTTAGTCCCATGCTTGGCCCGGCGCCCCGGACTTGCATCTGCTCACAGAACGGCGTGTGGGTGTGAACTCGGCAGCCCCAATTGACATGTCCTCCTGGCCCAGGGCGCACACATCCGGTCGGCCTCGCTTTCTAAACACACCCCGAAGCTGACTGCCTCGGCCAGCTCGGCCAGGGCCTCGGTCCCGCCAGCGGCATCTCAGCTGGATCCTTCCCACCGTCTTCCAGCCGGTGTGCCCCATCCCACCCCTGCTGCACCCCAGCCACACCTCAGTTTCCACACAGGCAGCCGCAACCCTTTGCGAGCACAAGTGAGACGCGCTTCCTTAGCGGCGGGCCCTGCACGAAC